GGTACAGGTAGATGGCAGAGTGGGTTCTGGTGACTCAGTACTGGAGTACTGGTGAGAAAGAACATCAGGTTTAACATCATGAGAACCAGGTCAGTAGGTGATGATGAACTTGAAACAGGTGAAAAACAGAGACCAACAAGCTTGCCTGGCATTTAGGCATCAAGCGATTTGGAGGTAAGTAAGGTTTCAGTTATCAGTTCAGAAAATAAATGAATGTTTAGCTCCTTCCAGCGAGTGTCTCCATTCTTTCAACACTGTCTTGCTCACCAGAAGTTCACGGTCACTCACATCAAAATTTCTCTCTGCTGGACTTAAATTTCTGGAAAGGAAGCCACATGGATGAAGCTTAATGTTAAAACTAGATTGCTGAGATAACACAGAAAGCAGGTTTTTTGAGAAGTTTTGCAAATATTTGTGGACATGAGTATGATGCATTTTGAGATTGAAAAATTTGGATGTCATTGAAATAAACAAGGGCAGCATGGTGGCGCAACTGGTAGAGCTGCTGCCTCTCAGTGAGCAGGTCATTGGTTCAAACCCCGGTCCAGGGGCCTTCTGGGTGGAGTTTGCATGTTCTCTCCGTGCATGCGTGGGTTTACTCCGGGTACTCCGGTTTCCTCCCACAGACCAAAAACATGCATGTTAGGCTAATTGGTAACTCTAAATTGTCCCTAGGTGTGAGTGGGAGAGTGAATGGTTGTTTGTCTCGTTTGTCTCTATGTGTCCCTGTGATGGACTTGCGACCTGTCCAGGGTGTACCCCGCCCCTCGCACAGTGATTGCCGAACATGGGCACCGGCGACCCCCGTGACCCAAAATGAATGAAGCGGGTAAAAAGATAATGGATGGATGGATGGATGGATGGATGAAATAAACAAACATGAATTGAGTCAAGAAATCTCGGAGAACATCATTTAATAGGGCCTGAAAAACTGGCGGTGCATTAGTGAGCCCAAATGATATTACTAGATTACTTGCCAGGAGTGTCTTGAAGGTCTTCCACTTGTCTCCCTCTCATATCTTGATGAGATGGTAGGCTTTGCACAGGTCCAGTTTGGGAAATATTTTGGTTGTATGCAGTTTTGGGCACAGCTAACCAAAAATTAGCTTTGGGGAGAGCTCTTCAAAATGGGTTCATGAGCTTAAAGTTACTGGATCTCAATTTAATGGAAACTAATTTGTCTGCTCACAGTTTCCACAATAAGCAAAAATGGTAATCCACTAAATGAAAAGTTAGTTCTGCTATTAACTGTTAGTGTAACTGTACCCACCACTGGCTCTGTGCAGGCTATCTGTTCAAAAATGGCATCGACAAGTGGCAGCAAACATTTATTCTTTATAGTTATTTGATTAAAATCTTGAAAGTTGAAACAGGTGTCATAGCTCTGCTCTCTGTCAGCTCCTCTGTCATGCTGCACACTCAGTAATCACTCAACTCACCTGTCACCGCTCATTATCCCACAGCTCCACCACCTGGTCCAGTCAGTACTTAAGCTCACTCATTCCTCTCAGTCTGGGCCAGATTCTCTATCCTGTCTCATCAGCAGTAGACTTTCCAGCATTCCATTGATTGACTCATCACGTTCATGACCCTTGCCTTGACCACGACCACGCTTTTGCCTCAGCCCTCGTCTGCGTTTGCTCATCTGATCAGGTACCGACTCATGCTCTTGTTTTTTGACTCTCTTTTTGGATCACGTACCGGATACTTCTGCTGAACAACTGACTTCACGGTATGAACTCTGCCTTTCCCTTCTGACTGTTTTTTGGATCACGGATTAAAGGTCAAGCTCATTCTGTATCACGGACTTATCCTTACCCCTGAATCTGATTCCCACAGATTCATTTCCCCAATTAGTCTCTTTCCCCCTGCATCTACTAACCTTTATCTTTTAGTTGCAAGCCTGTTGGACTCTGTTCCAGTGGACCTTAACATCAGTTCTACTTCTACTGGCAGCCCGCCACTACAACACTACCCAATCACGAACTACCAATCAGAAGATCAGAACCAGCCCAGAACCAGACCTACTCCAGAGTTTTACTTTATTTCACAATAAATCTTTTAACCCTCTCAGTGGTTGTTGTTGTTGTTTGCGATCCGGCCTCTGGTTCATGACAACAGGATCAAAGCATTTTATCCTTCCTAATGGTAAAAAACTAATTTCCCAGGGAAGAGGTGGAAGGTCTGATGATGCCTGCAGCAAGTGAGTCCTTGATGTACAGTACTGCCTAATGGGTTCCCTTTCAAGTCTAGAGAGTCAATAAAGGTGACTGGTGGGTAGAGGAGCTCCTGGCAGATAATCGATAGAACAATCAAAGGGCCTGTGCAAGGGTAGAGAGAACACTTTGGTTTTACTGAAAACTGGCAATAAATCATAACAATCAGGAACATTAGAAGTAGAACACTACTCTGGAAATTCACTGTGTTGATGAGGTGGCAACAGCAGATCTGAAACAATTTTCCAAACAGCTGGGGCTCCAACAATCTATTCTATCAATCCAATAGATGATGGGGTTGTGTTTGACCAACCACAGGAAATCAAGCATGACTAGATGCAATGTGGTTGGGACATAATAAAAAACATCTTTTTCTTGATTGCTGTAACCCACAAACTAGAGAGAGGATCAGTCTTGCGTTATGGAGGTGAAAGTCTGCCCATTAAAAGAGGAAATTGAGGATAGTAGGTAAGGCTTTAGTAGGAAGCTGAAGTTGACTTACCAATTATTACCAATATTATCAAATGTTGATAATATTTTGCCTAGCACCTGAGTCTAGAAGAGCCTGGAGTGACTGATCTTATCATAATATAGTAAATGGGTAACATCAACTAAGGATTATTTGAACTAACCCACCAGCAACCTTGATTCTACTTAAGGTTTGATAGTATCCACACAGCATTTGGCAATTAAATGGCCTGATTCACCACAGTAAATGCAAAGTCAGGCTTACACTGGATTGTCATTTGGTCAGTCTAGTTCTGCCAATCTGCATGGGCTCTCCAGTTCATTCTTATGACAGAAAGGAGAAATTAACATTGGTTACTGGGTTTATGGAACTTGGCAAAAACAATGGATGTGTCCACTTTGTCCTGTGGTGCCTAACCCATTGTCTGTCTTTAAATGATTTTCCAAATGGACTGCCAGGTCCACCAGTTCATCAAATATTTAGGGGTTATCTCATAGAACAGGTTGGTCCTGAAGTTATTCACATAAGGAGTGAGTGAACAGGCTCATGATGGTCCATTCGTTTCAGCTTGTCTCAATAGCAAGAGTATGAAAAACAAAATATTTAGTGATGATCGTGTACCTTGTTTGTTTCTTTTGTTGGAGTTGACAAACTACATCTTTCTTGCAAAGAGGATTATCAAAAACATGTCCAAACTCTGAAATTAAAGTTGTAGATTGGTCAAGGAAATGGCAGAGACATAGATTTTTGGCTAGCATAGAGCTTTCCCCATTAGGACTGAAACAACTAAATAAATCTTGGTGCCATCTGAGGCAAAGACTTGAGGCCTTTGAATAAAGTTCAAAACACAATGTAAAATTAATACTCCACATTGATCCAGCTCTTCCTCAAATAATTCTGGTAAAGTAATGGGTGTGTCGTGAGATGCTGAAGGTGCAATTGGAGCAGCCTGTGGGGTACTGACTAGAGTCTGTGAGAGCGACAGAGAGGTATTTTCTAATTCAAACCAGCGAGTACCAATTTTATCCAGGCATTGAATTATGGTTTCTTGTTGTCCTGATAGAGTTTCAGCATGACAGCCAATGGTTACACCATGGGATTTTTAAACAGAATTAAGATTTACCAACTCGTTGGAACTCTGAACAGCGTCAGTTTGGAGTATTCTATTAGAATTGGGTTTAGTTTTACAGAGTTCGGTTACTGAGTATGACAAATCTTCACATGAAACAATGATGAGTAAAATAATAGTTTATTTTGAAAGAACAGGAAGTAGAGTCTGAGTTTATCTGTGAGGATCAATGAGCAGAATTAGTGGATCCCAAATGTCACAGAAGGTAAGTAGACGGTATTTCTAGAAGAATGTTTGTAGGTTTCCAGGTGGGGGTTTAGGTTTCCAGAGTTTGGAGAGAGGTTGTAGTGATGTGGGAGAGAGACGGGCAGTGAGGAGTGAGGCAGTGCTTAGCTAATTATTATCAGTCTGTTTTCCAGGTGAGGATTCACAGGCATTCACCAGAGGAGAAGGCTGTAGAGTCCAACCAGGAGTTGAAACTCCATTTGGTTTAATGGAGAACCAAACGTGGAAGAAACGTGGAAGAAATTGGTTTTACTAGGATTCACAGGCATTCACCAAAGGACTGGAGAGAAAAACATGGGATTCACTGAGGGGGAAAAGCTTCTCACGTAAAAAGCTAAGGGGTATAAACCTTAAGCTCACAAGGGACATTCAACATTTTTGGCATGTGAAATCATGAATAACAATATATTTATAAAGTTTTCTAAGTTTTAGATACAATAGCTATAAATCTTCTTGTCACAGACAGTCTGTTCCTTTAGATTTATGGACTCTTTGGCCAAACAAACAGGTGAACTGGCTTAAGTCAGAGTCAGAGTTTCTTTATTGTCATTCGCACCTCATGTGGTACATGTGGTGGAGCAAAATTATGTACACAAGGTCCCAGTTACATCCAACAATAAAATGTATAAGAAAAACAGTGATAACATCTAAGATATGAACTAAGAAAAACATCAACTAAATATACACTAAGCACTCATAACATAAAACATTGAACATCACCACAAACATGAACATGAGTCTGTGAGCAGATGTGCACGCATGAACACATCAACATTGAAACAGATCAGCAGCAACATGAAACAGATCAGCAGCAACATGATGTGATTTTTCACAGTGATTATTCTAGTTAGTTAGTTAGTTAAGAATCATGAAGAATAATAACAAAATGTCACTGACAAATAAAATATTTCATAGTAGTTTGTTTTAAATGCCTTTCTCTTCTCTTGCAGATGAAGATTTTTGACAAAAACAAGGATGGTTGCTTGGATCTAAATGATTTAGCCAGGTATTTACTTGCCCAAAGCTTATGATTCAAGAAGCAAGTGAAATACTAAACTATAAATTCTGATTAACTTTAAACCCCAACATTAAATATTGTTATTATATGTATACCTTTAAGGATTTTGGCTCTGGAGGACAATTTCCTGCTGCAGTTCCAGATGGATGTAAGCAAATTGTTTGGTTAAAAAAAAAAAAAAAGGTTCAAGTTTGTTCTATTGTTGTACAGTATCTATTTCTATTTTTTCATCTTGATGAGTTTAAACAACGTCTTTATTTCTCTCTCCCAAGGCCTGCAGTAATGATGAAAGAAGGAGAGACTTTGATATGCTATTTAATCATTATGATGTTGTAAGTTTATTAATGCACTTTTTAAAATACACATAATGTATTATTTATTTAATTCAAAAATTCACATTCATTGTCTGTTTCCATTTTAATCTGCATGCATTTCATGCATTCAGGTCTCTCTTGTAAATGAGTCCACGAGGCTCAATGGGACTAACCTGTATAAATAAAGGTTGAATGAATTCAGTATATATGCCAAACTAAAAAAAGATAAACAGAATAATTTTGCTTGTTTAAGGTAAATTGATTTCAAATGTACAAAATGATAAATTACTTAACAAATATGAACGTGAAAAAGGATTTCAAACTCATCTTTTTCCCTTTATTTTCTTTTATCAAAATGCCGGATCTCGACAGGATTAATTTAGTGGGTTTTAAATCAAATGAGATAAAACCCCTGCTAATGCACAATTTTAAAATTAGCAGGCGTTGTGTGAAGAAAAAAAAACAAATCAGTGAAGAGGCAATTAATCTAATATGTGTCTAAAAGAATGCATTATATTAAACAAAACACTCATTATGTGTGGAAGTCAGACTCCAGAACATTATGACAACAGGTCGGGACTCCTTGATGAACTTTAGCATTTCAAGACCGATTCTTTTTCTTTTACCTTGTTAAACCGTTCAAAACACAAGTACTGGTTTATAAAAGTATTTTATTAGATACAATGGCACATTTATGCTTAATCAGTAGCCTTTTCAATCAACATCTCAAGAGCCCTGAAAGTGATGAAAAATTACAAACATAAAAAATAAAGAATCTCAGTCAGTAGCTTCATGTTTGTTACATTTGGGCTCATTTACCTGTAGGCTTCAATCATTTTTGTCCCTTATGAAATTTTGCCTCCCTTGTTTTGCTGAGGTTTCCTGTTTCACATCAAACTCTGTATAAACTGTAGATGAAAATAATTATCAGAAGTGAGCTGCCTTTTTGTATAGTTTTCATAGCAGCTATTTGCTAACTGTGTCACAAAGCCAAGCCAATTAATGTTTAGTTGCTGTAAAACAATTTCAGCAAGTATACAGTTCAATTCATGCTAATAAAATGTTGTATAGGACAATTTAAGTGAAGTTTGTCATTCGCATCACATGTGGTTCATGAGGTGGAACAAAATTATGTACTCAGGGCCCTAGTTACACCCCAAAATTGCAAAAATATAAAGTATAAACAGAAACAGTATATAAGGATCTAAGACATACAGTAGTCCCTCGTTTATATATATATATATATATATATATATATATGCCA